GGTGAAAATACAATTAATCTCAATATTTTGTGCCTTTTTCCATTCAAGAACATTTTAAAGTGCCCTTACAATTTCATAGCACTGAACCATAGTTTTGGTTCTAGATTATCCAAGGATGACAACTTGTTAAAAATTCTTCTGGCTGTTCAATCATATTTTTTTGCTTATTTTACCTTATTAATAGTGGGAAAAGATTGTATCATTTTTTTTCATTCTAGCAAAAGAAAGTGATAAAAGCTAAAACTACTAAAAAGAAAGCCATGAGAATCTATGAACAAAAAGAATACATAAAACTTTATCAGTAAAATCATAACATCTGATATATGAGATGTACATATGTACATACATCTGTACATATGTATATATAACCAATACCCAGAAAACATTTGAGAAAAGAGAAAAAGAAAAAAAATTTATGAGTAAATCAGGGAGAAAAAACCCTTTCATTTAAGTTGTATGCATTTTCTGAAGTCTGCCAAAGGTACAGATGATATCACTGCTGGCTAATCCACTAGCCAAAAACTAAGTTTAACACAGCCATTCTACAGACATGAGCCCTTTCCTGGCAGGAGCCAAACATGTTTGCAGGATCTGGAAAGATGGGCCAATCAGATACAAGTACCACAGAGAACATCAACATTATCGCTGGTCTTCTTGAACTAGAGTAATTTCTTAAAAAGGGGCCTTCATCAGATATACCTCATTCCCATATTCACCCTCTCATTTTCATCTAGTCCAACTCCTTTCTCTGATTTTCAAAAGGCAGAAGGAGCCTTTAAAATTTACATGGTCCAACTGAGTGGTGACGGACCGGACAGATATTAGCAATTCAAGGGTCAGATGGCGGTGCCCAGAAGGAGGCTTTGGGTTGTTTTGCTTGACTTTCTTTTTTGGAGAAAGGGAAGGAGGAAGGAAGAAGAAAGAAAGGGCTGGGGAAAGCAAGAAAGACACTGCTTTGAGAAAAAATAAGCTTCACCTTTCCCTAGTGTCTTCTGCTGACTCTGTCCCACATTTTGTCATCTGCTTGTCTCCTAAATGCAATAATTCTCTACATTCATTCCAAACTTTTCATTTTACAAATGAGGACATAGAAATCCAAGAATAGTTTATTAACTTGCCTAAGGTCTCACAGATGGTCATGAGCAAAGCTAAGTTCAATGACCTGGCTCTTAGTTGTACACTGTCTTTTTTGACTCCATTATACTCTTCCCCCCAATCCCAGAAGGTGTCTAGAGGCTGAGACATCAAAGTCTTGAAAGAAAAATGAAGAACTAGCAAACAAAATGCACATAGAAAAGAAGTTATGTGTTCTGTCATACTAGGTATTTTTTTAATTAATTAAGTTTATTGGTACATTTGGTTTGGTTTTTGGTGGGGTTTTTTTGTCCATCCATACAAAAGTGGGTTGGAACTACTGGAACAGGTGAGCAATGTATATAGATATTATCGATAAGACTTTATATCTATTCCAAACACTGTGGCAATAGATGAGACATTATTCTGACATTCAGGCTATGATACCTCATTTTTAGAGACGTCTATCCTTCTTAAAAAAATCACATCTTTGCACTCAAGTGTGCAGAAACTTAAAACAGAGCCTGAGTTGCCCGTTATTTTGACTTTTCTCATCCTTTTTGGCTACAAACTACTTTATTTTATACTTCATGGCCTTATACAATGATGCATTGAATTTAAATTATAGGAGGGACATTATTTACTAACTTCCCCAGTTATAAATATGTTCTCAGCCATTCTGTGATCTTGAATTATTGCTAACTATACAGTCAATGAAACACCTAACCATACTGCCAGGAGACTGTTCAAATCACCCCTGAATTTAGATTAAACTCTGAGGCTCCAAGAACACCTTAGATATGTCCATTATTTTATTACACTGAAACATTTTGGATCATTTACTGTGTAGGAATAATTCTTTTTTGAGACTGGACTGAAACTTGTTATGTAGCCCAGGCTGGCCTTGAACCTGCAGCAATCCTCTTGCCTCAGCCTCCCAAGTGCTGGGATTTCAGGCTTGTGCCACCACGCGCAGCAAGAAATTCTATTATATATCTGCCAGGCAATGAAAGTCTTCCAACTTTTCTGCCAGAACTCTCCTTTTGAAGAATCATTAAAACTATTCAATTTCTTGCAGAGTGGGCACAGGCAACTCAAAGCAAGAGATATCTCGGAACACATAATCTATTTTAATGAATGGAATGTTTGTCAATTCTAGAATTGCAAAGTAAGCCAATTAAAATATTTAAATAATAAAAGAAAAGGAGGGATCTTTCAAGGGATCACACTGTGCACATATCTGAAAAGTGTAAGGGAAAGGATGAGAGGTGAGTGTGGATTCTGCAAATAGGGTTTCCTATTTTCAGGATTGCTCCAGCACCACCTGAGTCCAGGAGAATCAAGGATTTCACTCAGGCTTCAGGCAAAAAAAAACTATGAACGCTGACTCTGCTTTTCACATTTCCACTTCAAATTTATAATATACTATAATAGTTCCAAAAAGTTATATTTAAAATGAATAAAAGCAGAAAAGTTACAAAATCTAGAGGTAGAAATTCATGGAAAATTGTGAAGGCCTTTTGCATTTGTATGTGTCTCTTCCTGGCTGAACAAGAATAAGGGATATTAGTAATGATTCCATGTGCAGATATATCATAGGATTAACTAGTCAGGAAAGACCATTTATTAGCTTTCCATTAAGTATGAATGAAGCTAGACATTCTAATAACACATTCTTAACTGGGCACAATCACAGAAATAACGAAGTTCCACATATAAAATAACTCCAGAACATTTTGATTATTAAGAAACATACAATTTACTTTAGGCCGGGGATTTAGCTCAATGGTTTTGCTGCCTGCTGCGCAAGCTCAAGGACCCGAGTTCGATCCCCGGTACAAAAAACAACAACAACAACAACAACAACAACAACAAATATATATATATGCAAATATAAACTACTTTTAACAAGGATACTTCGTTTGTTTTTTTTTTTGTACCGGGGATCAAACTTGGGTCCTTGCGCTTGCGAGGCAGGAGGCAGGCGGCAGGCGGCAGCACCACTGAACTAAATCCCCAGCCCAAATTTATATTTGGAAAATGAAGAACTTCTGATTGTGCTAAAGTTCAGGGTTAATTCTTTCTCAAAGCTGTAACATAAACAAATTTTTTTTTTTGGTACCGGGGATTGAACTCGGGTCCTCGCACTTACGCAGCAGGTGGCAAAACCACTAAGCTAACCCTGGCCCAACATGGACAAATATTTAAAAATAAAAAAACATTTTAAAATGTATTATCTTTAAATGAAAATTCATTTTCTAATTACTGAAAGCAGCACCAGTGGTATTAAACATTTATTATAACAGTAGCTTAAAATTAACTTCTTAACTGTCAAAATACCTAACCTGAAATAATTCCCAATGGTATCATAAAGGCTCAAAACAAGGTAAAAAGAGGAAAAGCTTTAAAGAAACATAATGGAAAACAGAAAATTTTTACCAATTAAAAAATTTAAGTAAAATTACTCCTATTGTTGGGTACAGTAATTTTCTTCCTTCCAAATGAAAAGTTATAAGTGGTTTCTTCTATATCTAACAGCTCTTGAAAGCTCTAAACTGAAGACTGATCCTTTAATTTCTTTAATTTTGTAGGCTGAATGCCAAGAATGTTGATAGTTCAAAACAATACTGATAAGTGTGGAAAATGAATAGCTCTACCAAGTCAAGAGTCACAAGAAGACATTTTCTCTTCTCCTTGAAAAAAAATCATTTTCCTTCAAGTACCACATATAAACAGCAGCTGACATTTAATGAGTGCTTATATGCCAAGTACTGCTCATCATCCTTATTTTTTAACACAGTGATCTGTAATTTCTCTATTTATTGTCTTTCTCCCTCCCTAATCTAGAAACTCCACGGAGACAGGGACTTTATCTTGCTCCCTATTGCATCCCCAGCATATAGTACACCTAACTCAGAGCAGGCACAACAATAATTTATGAATAACTTAGTCCTCTAAATTTTTACATATTTTAACTGTTCCTCATAACCTAGAGGAATTTTTAAATGCAACAGAATAACAAAGTGTATGGCATCTAGCAGCATAAGAATTCTTTAGTAAAACTTTTCGTTTAGTTTGGTATATATATTCTGTATAAAATATATTTCTTACTATGGGTAACGATTTTTTAAGAAGTCTGAAAATCACTGATTTATGTGGATTATTTCATTTGCTCCTCATAATTCTCCAGTAGGTAATATCATAACTTCTATTGTAACAGGAGAGAACTATAATTTTCTAGGGGTTATATATGTTGTCCAAAACAACAGCGTCCTCTGCAAGTTTGGACATCACCTCGGCAGATAATCATTCATAGGAACTGTAATAAGAAAATCTGAATTAATTAAAAAGATACAGGCTTTGAAGGCAAACGTGCCCGAATTTTAATACCTGGCTCTGCTACACATCAGCTGTGCAGGCTTTGGCCTGTTTTACCCTTGGCCATGTGTAAAATAAGACTACTCATAACATTGTTATAAGTTTTAAATGATTTACTGCACACCGCAAACTGTTGTGATTCAAATAGCAATTGATGTTTTCCCCTGGATTTAAGTCCCCTTCAATTCGCGGCACTGTAATTTGTGTAAAAAGTGTGAATTACGAATTTATTGGATTAAAAGGCAAAGTACGAAAAGGGGACAAAAGTGGCATAGCGCCGGCCACGAGTTTCTGCTGGCACTAGTTGAGAGAGATGCTAAATTAAGTTAAGACCAGGGCACCTTGTTGAGTCTGGAAACTACTACGAGAATCAAAGGAAGCAACGCTGCTTGACTGTGAAGAAAATTTTCATCCTCCTCAAAATCAGAGCCACATCCATCTCTTCCTCAGCAGCCTGGCTCAAGCCCAAGTGAGGGCATCTGATCTGCTCCCACCCTCTAAGGCCCTGGGTACCAAGGCACTAGGCACAGAGGTTCGGAGCAACTCACCCCGGAGACTCCGTTGATATTGCCCCAGAATCTCCTCCAGGGTAGACTTCCCTGGGGACTTCGCCATGCACAGACTCTGGGCCCAGAGATGGGAGCTACGTGGGGATACGTCCAGCACACACCCCTCCGAGGACAGGCCTAGCACTGAAGGGACGCCCGCTGCTTCCAGTCGCTGCTGTCACTGGGGAGCCTGGAACTCCAGACCGAGCTCCTGAGGACTCTTCCTACCTAGTGGCCCTCCCGATGCACGTCGGGAGTTGTAGTTCACAGTCTCAGGGAGTGCAGCCTCGGGACTCCTAGCTACACTACAGTTCCCAGAGGGTATTTGATTAGGCGGTTTGGCGGCCAAAGACTGTTGCCAAGAGACAGTGTTGGAAGCCCCGCCCTTTCCCTCTAGCCTGGCCCTGTTGAGTCCTGCCTTCTTCCCATCCATGGGTTGTTTGGACCACCCAACTGATAGAAACGGCTCACTGAAGGACTTGACGCTTCAAAATGTGCTCGCAGGTAGTTAATCCCCAAGGCTTTTGAAGGAAGCAAGTAATAAGCTCTAAACCTGTTCAGTTGCGACATCTATTCAAACGGTGAAGTAAATTCTCAGGCAAAGAAGCTCTAAATCTTCCAAACAGGCCTTCTCTGTGGGCCAATACTACAACTCCTAGGATGCCCAGCAACCCGACCTCGGCTTGGAGTTGGCGCACTGCCCGCTGGGAACTGTAGTGCTCGTTGGTTGCGGTCCCGACTCTTGCCAGGGTCCTGTTCATTGTTCCAGCCTGTCTTTAGGGGGCACGCCTGCGCAGTGGGCAGCTGGGAAAGTGTGTGGGTGAGACCCTCCGCACAAGTCCTTTTCATTGTCTGGGGCTGGCGCCTGCGCAGTAAGAGAACGTCGGGCCAGGCGGGAGGAGGGGATAGGGCTGGCTCCTCGTCCTTTCTCCAGGCGCCTGCGCACTAAGCGGCCGCTCTCTGCCGTTACCGCTAGGTGCGAGGCGTGTGTGGAATAACGTTATTGCCCAGCGCAGCTGAGGGGCCTGTAGCTCGGCCGTGGCGGCGGCGGCGGCGGCGGCGGCGGCGGCGGCGACGACGACGACGACAGTGGCGTGCTGAAGACTCACGGGACGCGACGCGCCCCGCCTCCCCCGTCCAGTCCCTCTCCGCGGTGAGGGGTAAGTGATGCACCCGGCTGCTCCGTGCGGGCGCTGCCGAAGCCGCCGCCGCACCTCACCTCCTCCCGGGATCTGCAGCGGGTCGGGGCGCGGCCCGCGGCGGGGCGGGGACGGGACGGCACGGCGGCGGAAGGGGCGCTGCTGGATGCTCCACGGCCCCGCCGCCCCGCCCTCCCATCCCCCACCCGCGTCCCTCGTCCCGCGTCCCGTGTCCTGCGTCCGCCCTGCGACCTCCCGTTTCTCCCGGCCGGCTGCCACCGTCCCCGCCGCCCCGAGTGTGCCAAGTCGTTTTCAGCGCCGTCAGGCTTTGTGCAGCCCTTCCCCCTGCGCCGTAGCACTTCGCGAGGGCTGCGGGCGGAGCGTCGGAGGGAATGGCTGCGCCGCCGCTGGTGCGGGCTCTCTCCCCATCCCGGGAGCCAGCAGTGTGTCATCCCTATTGTACAGCGGTTCCGGGGTGGGAGGCGGTTTGGGGGAGGTCAGAGGACCGGCGCTGTGGACGCGTTGGGAGGGCGTGGTGTCAGGCACCCCGCCTGGCGACTGCATCCCGCCGGCTCCGGTTCCTTAGTCCGTAGTACACCCGGGGGAGGAGAGAGTGGCTTCCTGTGGGCTTCATTGTCCTAGGATTGAAACGTAGGGTTTTGGTATACTTCCCTTCCATTTTTGCTAGGGGAAAGCATATTAGCGGCTACCTAACACAGGGCGGGAAGCTGCTGGAGTTACATTTTAAATCCTCAAATCTCTGTTTTCTGGTTTTCAATAGTTTCACTTATTTTTTCTCCCAAGAATACAAAGAAGATAGAGGCTGTACCTGATGGAGTCCCACTATACCAAGGTGATCAATATGAAATTACGGCTGGGTGGGAAGGACTGACAACGAAGCTGTTGTGTACCAGGGAAATGAACGAGCAGAATTGTTTTTTCATTGGGTGGGTAAGGCTTTCATGTTCCTAAGGGAATAGATTAGAATACGTGTTTCTTATTTAGCTTTTGAACAGTAAAAGAAATGGGCCTGTTATGTTTCTGAAACTGTTTTTAGCCTGTTAATGAGAATTCACATGTTCGGCAGGAATTTGTTGAAGCAGAGGATACATCTGGTTGAAAAGACATCTTTTAAAATGATTGAATTTTAAACTTACAATGTTTTGAGCCCCTTTCTGCCAATTCTGTTTAAAACAAGCAGAAGGATGGATGAAGCAGCAGGATAGGGAGGAGCAGGTGGAGGAATAATGGGGAGAGGAGAGAGTTACATGATGAATACAGTATCTAGATCTTCATTGATAAAACTCTGCCTGCTTAAGCTTTAAAGGCCTAGAAATTCAGTTCTGGAAATACTGCATTGATAAATAGCAAGTTAGAAACCATTTTTTAATTTTTCTGCCATTATTTATAAAAAGAAAACCAGACTTGCTGTAGTTCTTCCTGTGTAGAGACTGTCGAATTTCGTGTTTTAAAGTACACTTAACAGAGACAGAGGAACAGACTAAAACTTGGCAGTTAACTAACTTGTCCGTCCCAGCCAAACTAATGGAAGGCAGGTGCTCTTTTGAGTTGTCTGTATCAATGAATTTGATTCTCACAGTTGTATTAACTTAGTCTTTGTCTCTTTGATGTAAAAGCGATTCTACTGAAATGGAACTTTAGTTTTATAAAGTAATTTACTATGTAAGGAAAAGAGAATGTTTTCCTTTCTATTTATCAGTAACAGTTTATTATTTGAAATTCAGCTGTGAGTTTTATAATGTGATCAACTCTAGAAATGTTGCAACTAAGATTTCCAGGTAAGAACCTATGAAGTTGATTTTTCTTCCATTAGTGAATTATTTTCAACTTACCTTACCTTTTGAGAGACATTTGCTTTATCTTAAGTGAGTTGATTTTGCTACATAAAGTATTCATTGCCCTACATTAAGACTTTCTCACCCTGCCCCCCTTTTCATACTGGGGATTGAGCTAAAGGCATGAGCTAAGTCCCTAACCCTTTTTAATTTTATAGACAAGTTCTCCTTAAGTCTCCAGCTTTCCCAGGATGTACTTGAATTTGAGTTCTCCTACCTCTGCCTTCCATAGTGCTGGGATTACAGGCATTTTCTTCAGAATTCACTTCTCAAATTTCAACTTCTCAAAAAAAGAGAAACATAACCTGTGACTTGAGTTTGTAGAATTATATTCAGTGAAACATTAAATGTAACTACCAGTAAGTTTCATGTTTTTCTAAAATTTTGTAAGGAAATAAGTAATCTACATGTTTCCTTTTTTATCATTAGAATAATGGAGTTTGCAATGTAAACATTAGCATCATTCTTCATATTAATACAAATCTCAATATACTTAAAAAACTTATGTGTTTAGTGGTTTGTTCCAAGCAGCAGTTTCTTGTTCCTTCTTATCTTGTTAAAAAAAAAAAGGTTAGTTTTATTTTTGTGTCTGATAGTAATGAAATAGTGCCCATGGAGTACTAAATAGGGTATATGTTTTAAGCTTCTAATCAACGTGTTAAAAAAATTCTCTTCCTGAAAAATATTTTTCATTATTATATTTAGTGTGTAATCTTTTCTTCATGTCATAAACATTGGGGTGTTAAGCAGTGTGCTCTTTCTTGTTTGTTTGTTTGGGTTTTTTTCTTTTTGGGTACTGGGGATCGAACTCCGGTCCTTCCACTTGCGAGGCAGGCGTCGGAACCACTGAGCTAAATCCCCAGCCCAGCTATGTGCTCTTTTAATAAGTGCATGGTACTTAATTGCAAACTGAAGTATCTGAACAGTTGCAGATTATTCTGGAAGTATAACAAAAGATCCATCACATACCATCTGAAAATGCTTGGTTGAATAATATTGATTGTTACATTAAATGTTGATCTTTTCTGTAAGAAATATTAATTTATTATTAATGAGGAAAAGCCTTGGACAATCTTGTCACTAAATATTTTTAGTAATGAAGATTTTTAACAATAATTACTTATGGTGAATGTGTTTTTATTTACTTAAATATTTCATGAAGGCTATATTCAACAATGAGTAAGCCATTTTGAGGTATAAAGAGAATAAGAAAACATCTGTGGTTGATTGAACTGATGTACTGTATTGTCCAGTTTAGTTGAAATGATTGTGCAACAGTATAAATTTTTTTTAGCCAGAGTGAATAATGGCCAGTATGTACAAAGACTAGTTTTATGTCAAAAAAGGCAGAAAAGCAGCCAACAAAAGGAAGATTAAGGAAAACATAATAAACATTGCTTATATATAAGCAGTGATTGCATAAAAGTGGAAAAGAATCCAAATCATGCATTGCTTAGATTTGAAAAACAAGTGAAACATCACAGAAAATGTTATTTAATATATCATTAATAAATGACATAGAAATATTACCTTTTGTGACATGAAATTTTTTGAATGAGTGAATGCCTACAATGTATGGATCACCTCTTAAGTGTCAGGCTCTCTCCCCACCTCCTGTGTGTAATTTATGCAATGGTTTTCTTAAAGTGTTTATACATTTAAAGTGGAAAAAACTTGAAGCAGTGTCAGTGAATATCTGTGCCACATATTGCTAAGTTGTAGAGCCTATGTCTTTGACCAAATACGTTCTATTCAACTATTTTAGCAATTTAAAGGGGCAATATTTATTCCATTCCTGTAATTTATTAAATTTCAGGATTGCACAGAACTTTATATAAAGTCATCCATACAACGTGCCACTTGCTGCTAATATTCCTGAGATTATTGAATCTAGCTCCTCCATGAGTCCTTCCCTGGAGGTAGAAGAAAGCCCATTTAGCTTTCAAGAGTATTTAACAGAAAGATGTTATGTAAATTGAGCTCTTATCTGCTTTGCTATCTAGCTTCTTCAAATGATTATTTTCTTGCGTGAGATACAGTAAGGTTTTTCTCAGTACAGTAGCTTTCTGCTAGATATTCTCTTTTCTAAATTAAATGTTCTCTCACTTAAAGCTTCATATGGTATGGTTTCCTTTGCTTTTCTCATCTCTGTCAAGTTGGATTTAGTCAAGTTTGTCAGTGCTATTATTTTTGTTCTGATCCTGTCCTAATATTTAATTTTGCAATTATGATCTGAATGCAGAGTGTACTGAAACTTCCTTATTTCAAGAGATACACTTGTGTTTATAGTCTACAGATGTGTCAGCTGTTTAATAACATTAATGTCTCATTTGTAAGCAGAAAACTGAAAAATATTATATGACCAAGTAATATTTATATAATTTAAGGGATTATTTTTTGAGATTCTGTACTTCATTCTTCCATTGTTAAAGTAGCTTTTCTTTGTGAAATTATTTTTAGTAGGTGTTAAGTTTATTTTGATGTTGGTTGTAGACTTTTGTTTTGATTTAATTAGTGTTTTTAACCAATAAAAA